GTTTTCAGTGGGGGTGTTCACCTAGATGCAGATAATTTGGTTCAATGTCATAGTTCAGATTTATTCTTTTCTACTTCTCAACATCACCTCCTGGTAGGACTGGAATATGTAAGAAAGAAAAAGAAAAGATAGCTTTGTTACTTGGATCTGATTGTATTATTTCCTGCTGTGACAATCTATGGTTTGTGATGAAAGTCTGTTAACATTGTTAACTTTAAGGAGAGAAAAAAAATCTTCCTTTATTGAAAAGGAAAAGTAGCAAGCAAATAAAATTACTTGGGCATGTTTATTTGGTCATTAGCAGGTTATTTTCATCTTCTGTGACTGAGAAAAATATTGCCAGAGAAGACCAAAATGCTTTTTACAGAATTATAAGCTAAGGGTTTTGGAACACTATGAAAATACTTCTAGTCATAAATATTTACTATTTTCTATTTACTTATAGAACAAATTAGATATGCAACTGATAAAATTATTTAATAGAAATACTTGGGTATGGAACTTATTAATTTTACTGATGTATGTTTATTTTTTATGACAGGCAATCTAAACTATGGGCTTAAAAATGCTTTGTGATCATAGTGTTATTTAAAACAATATTATTTTTCATATGGATGTACTTATGGAAATAATAGTTTCTTTGTCCTTTTGTTCAGGATTTTAAGAATTAAATTAAATTTATAGTTTGTTTATTTCTCTGTAAATTAATTTTGTTGCAAAGCAAAGGAGATTAAAATCCCTTTGTAATTGTATACATATGGCCTTATAATGGAAAGACCTACAAAACCTTAAATGTAAATACACTCTAGTGTATTTAACTCATCTGGGATATTTTAGAATGAAATAATATAACAGCAAAATATATAACACCTGCAACATATTTAGTTAGTATAAAAATATTTCAAAACATATTCAGGAAATATCTAAATAATCAATTATCAGATTTATTAGTGGAGTTAAATATAGAACATCATGTGTAAAGTGGGCTTATTTTGTAAAGTATTATTGGCCAATTTCTGGAAGAAATCCTAAATTAACTTGCCGTTACAAACGTCTTCCAAACTTGAAATTATTAGAATAAATAATACTGGTTCTAAAGCTTTAAATATAAGCACCGTGGCTCTGTTGCAGCAGAGGAATAGTGTAGGACCCTTCATGTCTACAGCATTTTCTTATTTAGGATGCTCTCCTTTGTTTGTAAAGGTATCCTCATCTGCAGGCACAAATATTTGCACCTGAGCACAATATGTGGCACATCAATAAATGAGATCTGTTTTCTACCAAGTTATTAATAATAGATGCAGTGCTCTTGTTTATTTTTAAACTGAGAAAATGAAGCGGTTTTGCAGGAGAGTTTTGGGAAAGATTTCCTCATAGTAAAAGACCGTTTTCTTCCATATCCCTGATCAGCAGTGGTGGGCAGCAGGATGCTGTTCTGGGTTGCACATTCAGCCATTGAAGCAAATTGGTTGTGAGGTTTCACATGTTGGACGGGCAGTGAGGGACAGGACTGGGCCAGTTCCTGGAGAGGGAGAAGCCCTCTTCCCAAGCCTGAGAAGAGCAGGCATAGCTGCTTGGTGTACCCACAGCCCTGGCAGCATCTTGGTCTACTATTTCCTAATGGCATTGAAAAGTTTGAAAACATCATTTACTCTCTGTTTGCAATTCCTGCTCTGACTGCTGGAGCCAGAAATGGATGCAGTTATTGTTGTGGTGGGGAATAGTTAAGCTATGATTTCTCTAGGGGCTGAGTAATGATATCAATTTCTGGTTCTTTTTCTGCATTTGTCTTTTTACTCTGTGGCTTTGTGTTAATGACTAAATGGAACCTGGGCTCATCTTTTCTTCTGTTTTTGTTTTTTTACAGTGCTGGGGAACTGGTTTTGTTTCCTAGAAAAAAAATGCAGTGAGATAATCATATGCAGGTATATTCCTTTGGCTCGAGGAAAATGCAGTTAAACATCTGCAGGTCAGGTTTCTTCACCTCTTGTTTAGGTGCTCAGAGAAATAGGAGTGGGCTATTGGAAAACAAGAAACTTGTAGGAAACCTGTCATGATAAGAATACAGAGTTTACTTTGGTCCAGCTTTATTGTTTAGATTTGGACTTTGATTTGTTGTCATTGCAAGTAACTGACTACTAAATCTTGACTGTACAGGTAAGAAAAATCTTTCTACCTGTGGTTGCATCCCATTGTAAACAGTCTAAGTGAGTTGTTCCACTGAGCCACAGGTAGTTATGGTAAAGAGCTTTTTTCTTCAAAGCATCCTCTTCAGCTCATCTTCAGAGTATCATTATTTCTGTGTGTATGGCTAAGCAGGATCAACCTTCTGCATTCTACAGCTCATAATAGGACTGCAACATTTATAAATATCCTATCATCTATAGGATATATCTATAGGATATATTTATATTTATGGCAAAATAGAATTTTAATGGAAAGTCATAATTTGTAATTTGTATTTTTGCAAACAGGACTTCAAAACTTTTATATTATTGGAATGCTGTTCTACTTTATACAAGTATTTAAAGGTGTTATTTTTTTTGTATGTTAGCAATCATGGAAGTCTTTTTCTATTTGCCCTTAATGCTGAGGCATGTGAATAAGGAGAGTGGGGGGGAAGAGAAGAGAATGGGAGAGAAGGGTGTTGTTTCCTTGGCAACAGGCACTCTGCTGCTCAGGGCACAGGTGACATCTGTCTTAAAGGCTGTTTAACAAAGCATTGAGGAAAGTATGAAAGAAAGCATAGAATTTCTGTGGCAAGAGAAGGATTTTCTCAATCAATCCCAAATAACTCCAAACATTTCCAAAAAAGTCTCAGCTGATTTGGTTGTGAATTTGAATTAAAGTTAATAGGAAATAAACATTTATGTTTATTACTCAAAAAAAAAAAAAGTCAGGAAAAATATCCTAGAAATTAGTGAATTCTAGTAATCATGATCCTGATATTGTGAACTTATAATGGTCAGCTTTAAGTTGGAAATAGTTGGAAATAATTTTGGAGAGATGGGACCCTCACAGATGTCAAAAGCTAGCTAAGCTAATTACAGCTTTTTAGGCAACCTGGCATCACTGGCACTGGGAAGGCTGAAAGCAATTTGGAAGTCATCTTCTGTGGACCACATAAGGAGCACATTGTGCATTTAATTTTCTGCAATGTAAAGGTAACCTGAGAGTCAGTGTAAAAAGAAGAATGTATAATATACTTATGTGATTTTGAATCTATATTCTGTTCTGAATTTTCACAATTACTGATTCACAAATTCTGCTAAGATTCTGTTCTGACTTTGCTATTCTTCCATTAGACATAACTTCGGAGGAATGAAATCTGTGTTCATTAACTTCTTGCCAATTAAGTTAAACATCCTTTAAAACTTTGCTTTTTGACAAAATTGTCTTCAATTAGTTGTTAAGATACAATAGTTTTAAAATGAAACTTGAATTTTTAATTTATGTCTGGAATTGCAGCAGTTATATCAGAAAAATACATGGCAAATGTGGTAGATGTAGGTAGTGTGTGCATATTGCAAAAATAGCTAACACCAATGAAAATAAAATAAATGTCAATTTAATAGAAAATTGTATTATTTTATCAAATATTTTCAAAGACAGTGTGCTTGATTTTTCAGTTTGGAAGCACTATTTTTTTCAAAGTGTTCAGAAAAGCAGAGAACTGGAGCAAATAATATTTGATTTATTGGTGAGAACTTGGAAAGTAAAGACAGCACTGAAGGAGTTATGACTCAGCCTAGATATTAAAAGAAAAAAAATCTGGGATAGGGTTAGTGAAACAATGAAAATGTTGCCCAGAGAGATGGTGGATGTCCTTTTCCTGGAAACATGTAAGATAAAGCTGGACAGGCCTCTGAGTAACCTGATCTAGTGGAAGGTGCCCCTGCTCATGGCCAGGGGGATGGCATTGGATGACCTTTAAGCGTCCCTTTCAACCTGAAGGATTCTACTCCCTATTCTGTGATTCTGTGATTCTGTAATACAGGTGTATATCCAGACAGAGGTGGTCCAGCCAAAACATGTACATCCAGTTGCAGGATCATGGCTCTTCCCAACAAACACTGAAATTTCCTCTATATTGTAAGGCAACTTTAGATTACTAGTTCTTAGTTTTGATCTGGTGCTAGATAGCATGAATCACGCACCAACATAGTTGGTTCAGCTAGGACTTGTGAGAAGCAGTTGTGCTGTAGGTGTCTTTTATTTCCTAAGTGTTTACAGCATTGCATTCACCTCTTTGTCCCTTTTTAACATATTTACGCGAAGTGCTTTCTCACTGGTTACGGACAATAAAACAGTAGTTTCTAATGTAAAACTTCCTTATCCTACCTCTGTAAATATTATTGAGAAAAGGATACAGGCATTATTAAAATAGCTGTTAATTGGAAAACATGATGTCTGTGGAGGTGGTTGGTACTAGCATAATCGTATCATCCATACCTTCTGAAGTAGAGGACCTTTTTGTGTTCTTTCCCTTTAACAAATATAATGCTGTTTCTGTTATCTTGATTCTATGTCGCTGATATCATCAGCCATTTTTCCTAACTTCTGAGAATAACACAAGATTTTCATTGCCATAGCAACTTTTGAAATCCTTGAAATATGGTATATCACATGTTCTTTTCTTTGGAATGAAGTCCTGCAAAATATATTGGAAATTTCATATTGGTTGCTAGACTTACTGCTAGTCATGTAGTTATGCACAAAGTAATATACAATCTTAAAAAAAAAAGAGCTATGAGATTAGGTTATTGTGTATTTATTAGAATACGTGTATTTATTTTCCAGAGATATGTTTTTTCATTGAAATGCTTGAAGACTATTGGAATTACAACTTCCATACCCACTCTTTAAATATATGGAAAGTTGTGGCGAGGGGAATTGCAGTGGTGAAGAAGGCAGAGCAGCAGGAGATAGAAGGCAATTCAATACTACAACTTCTCTAAGATCCTTTAATTAATATCTTTGAAACATATTTTCTTCTCTAGCCATCATGATTTTCAACTATGTGATTCAGAAGCCTAAATAACGCTCAAATGGAAGCACATTAAGGTATGCCCGTAATTAAGTTTCAAATAAATAGGAGTGTAAATTTTGTATTCATAGGTGAAACCTCATCACTGCTTTATCTTACCTGGTAGGCCTGGGAAACAGACTTTCCTAAAAGGCCTAATCTCCCTTGCATCATAGCTGTTGCAGCAAGCAGGATTATCAACCAGATAATCCAGCAATCAGGATTATCAACCAGAACTGCAACTCTCTGTTGACTCCATGTGACTTCATACAGTCACACAGGATCCCTGTGGGACCTGAAGGGACCTGAAAGAAGTGGTTTTACACAAAACTAAGCACAGGGAAGTATACAAAAGACAGGAAGTGTTTGTGAGGAAGAAAGAAAACAGTATTGGGTGATAGAAATACTGCTGTAGTCAGTAAATAGCATTTTCTTTTCATGATGAATACTCATACAACATTAGCACATACATGCCCCCTCTGTTGGCAGTTCCTCTATCTGTCGATGTTATGCTGTCATAAACTAAAAGCAGAAACATGCAAAGATGACTTTCTCTGCCTAATGTCTGCCATTAGCATCTGAGAAACATTATTTTCAGAGTGGACATCTTTGATCTCCTTTACTAAGAAGAGCAAATCAAAGAGTAGAAGGACAGCTAATGCTCAGTGTGTTGTGGCAGTGCCATATATCAGTCAGTTTTCAAATATTCATTATCCAAGCATTTTTATTCTGCAGTCTAGTGAGAAGCAAATTATACTTCTTCATCTGGTTTCTACAAAAAAGGCTGAGAGGATTTTAATATATTTGGGGGGAGAAACTAAAATTGCTCCAGATTTCTTCTTGTCATTTAATTCTTCCTCCAGCTGTGGCTTTAATTAGGTTCTGCAACAGCACCACTGAGAAACTATCCTTCAATGCCAACATTTGAACATTATAAATGTATATGCTCTTGCATGTAAAAAACATAGGTTTAAAAAGATGGAACTTTCTAAAGTTGTATGTAAATTTGGACTTTATGATTATTTTGGCTGCAATATTTAAACTATCAGAAAATTTCATCTAAGTGATAGCAGAAGCTCCTCCTTTCCATCCTCCATCTGCTGGTATATACAAATATCAACATACAAATACTGACTGCCAAGTGCTTCCTGGATGTGTCTTTCTCATATGGCATTAGGGGGCATGTCTGACTGACAAAATAAATAATGGTAGACAAACATTATATCCGTGAATGGCTGGGATCCTCACCACATGTCTTAGGAAGACATTCCTCCATTCAACTCTCACCTGTTTCCTACTGTCAATGGAAAAGTTCTTTGATGGCTCCATTAATAGTCTGAAGTGCCTGAGATAAAAGCCAGTCTAGCAGACAATCTAATAAGCCCCACTGAGGAAGTTAACACATTAACTGGGCTAATAAGTCCCACTGAGAATGAGAACACATTAACTTGGGCTTGACTCTGTCCAATACAATTACACAGCACAGCTTTCTAGTTTTTCCTGCGCCTAGGTTTGCTAGCAGAAGCTTTGAGACTGCCCAGAACCCAGCAGGGTATGAATAGTTGCTGCTGTAGTTCAACAAGTAAAGCTACAACTCCTTGTCAGAAGCTGGTATCCTTAGAAGGTCTGGTTATTTGAAAATCATGAATGTTCTAGCTCTATACATAACAGTTATAGCCTCCTTAGCTAAATTAAAACTCAACCAGTTGCTCTTACCCTTTTTCTGGTTAAATGACATATAAAATCTTCTTCACTTTCTAAGAACGGCTTTGCAGCTCTTTTATCACTGAAGCAAGCATGAGGAAAGAGGGAGAGAGATTGTGCTATTTTAGCATAGCATACAGGGATGTGCATCATATTTTGATCCTCTGGGTCTGAAGAAGTATCTAAATCTATTTGCACTGCTTGTCAAAGTTAGCTGTACTCTACACCACTACAACATACTGCATTAATGTGTTAAAACAGAAAAAAAACCCCCCACTTTCAAATGAGGATTTTTTGCTGCTGCTGATCTTTCTTTTGGCCTTAATGTGAAAATATTCCTTGTGGCATTTGTCACAGGTATTTTCTTATAATCTTATTACTTCTGCTGTCCCCTAAGGGCAAAAGAATAGATGTAATGAGAGCAAAAGAGATGTCTTAAAAGCCTGTTTTGACAAACAGTGAAAATGTAAGTCAACCTACAGATGTTAAATATGGAAGTGTCAGTTGTCAGGTTTTCCTGACTATAAATACTTTTAGCCTTCATGTACTGAGAAATTTAGTTAATAATATTCATTCCTTCAGCCACGTAAGGTCTTTTTCAGCCTCCTTCTGCTGAGTGCTGTACCAATTCCAGAAACAATTCCACTCCTGTTTGTTTTTTTTTTTCCCTAGGAGTTATGTCCACTATAAACTTCAGTTTTGTAAGAGCTCTAATTTAAGCCTAATAAAAGGCTTTTTTGTCACACTTTTCTTCTAGAATTTTGTTACTAATTTCCATTACTAAATTATTAAGAAAACTATTAAATGTAGAAAAAACCCGGTGTTTTTAATAAAATAAAATGTCAGCATTTGTAGCAATTCATCATACACACACAATTGCTATCATGACAATTTATAGAACCTTTAAAAAAGAACTTTCCCCCTCTGCTATTCTCACCCAGTCATGGATTGACATCTGGATTGTATTGTGCTTGAAGTCTCATGAATTGTGTCTAGCTGGCAATACCAGGAGGAGGTAGATATGAGGTCTGGAGAGTCCAGATGTTAGGCTTGTCAACAACAGCAGTGGTGAGTGTGGTATTTGCTGAGAGAAGGAGAATCAAAAATAGGGCTGGAAAATGATGAACAGGAAAGCATAGAGGGAAGGGTTTTACAGTAGCAATGGCTTCTAATCCATGTAAAATTCACTTTTATTACCTTGTATTCTTCATGAGACTCTTCAGTGTCACTTCTGGATGAAGCTTTCAGACATTTGTTAATTATATTTTCATAGTACTTCTGCTGAAAGTATAACATGTTGTAAATTCAGTAGTACTGAATAATAGGAAATTTATTTCTTTTGTTTTAAGTTTTTTACTTTTGGAGAGCTTTATCTGGCCAGGAGTTTCTGTGCATATGTAACTGAGATGACAGCATGCATGTTTTTAGATGACTGAAGATGACATTTTTTAAAACACTAATTATTTACTGTTTATTGTAAGCACAATTTGGATTAATTACTAAAGAGAAACACTGCCCTGAGAACTAACTGATAAAAATCCTATTTGCTGTCTAGTCATATTTGATATGCAGAGCATTTTAATATCCTCTTACATAGTCCTTCCTAAAACTCAAGCAATTTTTATAAACTTTTTCCAGTTTGTGACATGAATATTTTTGATGGAATTAAATAGCAAAGAAACTTTAGTGATCTTAAAATTCCTTCAAATTTCAATTTTAGTCTGTCTAAAATTTGTTGTATCTGTATGCACAGTGACTGAAAAACTGCTTTTTCTATGAAGGTATAGGAACTCAAAGTTTACTTGCATGTTTTGGTATTAGTAAATACAGTTATATTCAATAATTCTAAAGTAAAACTAATTTTAAATTCAACTGCACAAAATATATATACTGGAAGCTAATGACTGTGGCTGGTAATTAAAATTAAAACTTTTATTCTGCTGTCCACAGAAAGATATAAATATTTTGTACAGAAGCTGTCAAAAATAAGTGCTGTATTAAATTTTAAGTATTACAACAAAGAAGATTCTTAACAAAATTCTGAAAGATTTTTGAATATCCAAAGAAACATAGTGTCCTATATGTGTATTTATGTGCTAACATCACATTAATCGTGCATTAATTAATAATTGAAATACCCCAGGAGAAACAATAATTTTTTCTAGGGCTTCTGTAAGTATTTTTATATGCTACTGATATAAGTAAAAATTGTAAGCTTCCATATTCTAATAATTTCTTTCTTAATGTTCTGTTTTCTAGGTAAGTACTGTCTTTTTCTTCCTACCATTCATCTCTGCCTTCTCGAAGTTCAGTGAAAGAGGTAAAAATCAAGACAACAAAAATGAAGGTCTGTTTGGTAAGAATTTACTTTGGTTTACATGCTTATCTACTTTTTTCTTTTTATAATTGAAGCAATGCACCCATTACAGGGATTAGTTTGTGCAGAATCGGTGAGAGAACCCGCTAAGAGGAGCAGTTCATGAAATGCTGGTGGCCCTGCCAGACTGCCCAGGTGAACTGCAGGCAGCACTGCCTCCTCTCCTGGGTCTAGGGCCACACTCTTAGGGCAAAGGCTCTTCTATTCCCTGTAAGGCTAAAATACATATCTGGAGAGTTTTTGTGGCAGAAATCTCTAGGTTTGAAAGTTATTTGGCTCGTGTTAAAGATGGAGGAAACTGCCCTTTGGGAAAAGGTGTAACACAAGGTACCTGAAGCAGTGAAGTACAATTACTAAAGTACAATTTGATCTTGCTTCCTTGAAGGGAAACAAGGCAATTACAGGGCAATAGCTAAAAGTGAAAAATAGGGGAAAATGCCTTTAACTGTGGTCCCTTTTAGTTTGTCTCACAACCATTTGATGTAGCAGTAGAACAGATGGCCTTCTGAACTTCTCCAAAAGATGTTGTCTTGCTCAATTGAAGCTATTTATGAAGCTATTACTGATAGCTTCCATTCTAGCTACAGTTCAGGAATGCAGGATGCAACCTTAGCCAGGCTAGGACTGATAACTTTATTTAGAAGGCCAAGGAGAGGAAAAAGAGAAACAACAGAGGAGGAGACTGAGGATAGTTACAAGGAAAATTACACAAGTGAATATTTTTGCAGCAGAAACATGAATCTCACACACCAGTGCTTTTCAGAGTCTAACCAAAGATATTTGAGATAATGATGTCTTCTGGAATTATTCTCCAAAACAGAGTTTTTGAAAGCATAACAGTGCTAAGGGGATTCCAGGGGTCCTGGACATGACCATGGGAAAGCTGACATGCTAGCAGAGATGAATCTCGTCTATCTACCTGACCTTGTACCGGTGTCACACTGGTAAATGCTCCAG